TGAGAACAGTGTAAGCGTTCAAGCAAACCACTTCTGAAGATGCAAGCCACTCGTGCTTGCGAAACGTCAAGAAGAAATTCTACCGAACGACGGCCCAAAAACTCGAAAAAGTTTAGGTCTCAAAATTTAAGTTTTAATGTTTTTTTCCAGCGACCATTTTAACTCTTTTCTAATATGTTTCCTTGCAAGATAACATTTTTCCGGCTGTTAAAGTCGATTTCTCAGCTTAGACTTTGAGCGCAACGATTTTTGCTCGAGATTTCTCAAAAACCCTTTTAATCCTACTGATTGTCCATTTTTTTGAAGATAAATCGCGATATTTTTGACCATCAAATCATTTCTTCTAAACTGCTCGCTAAGCAGCCAAATTTGTCTTAAATTTAGAACTGGATAAATTCTGATTGTTTCTAGTCATTTGGTTTCTGTTTGAGGTGCTTTTAACTCCATTTGCTTTCCGTTAGTCGCTGTTTTGATAAGAATTAAGCATCGCAAACGAATTTTGTACAGGGTGGCAAAAAATGCAAAATTTTGCAAAGTTCTGCATCCAACCCACAGGTTAAAGGTCAACCATTTGACTCAAAACAGTTTTTGAATTTTTCGTCCATCTTTTCTAAACAGATTTTTTTATTTTCTATACAATATTGTATACAGGGTGGTCTCAAAAAATCAACTTTTTGGTTTTGCAGCCACAACTTTGCGGCTCCTGGTCCGATTCTTACGATCTAGCGCTCGTGTGGAAGCTTAAAGTTCATGGACAATTTAAGATGAAGATTCAGGCAGAATTGCCCCCGAAATTAGCGATTTTGGACGCTTTTCAACTAAGTGAAGTTCATTTCCAAATATTTGAATTTTTCGCTCAATTCGACTGTGATGTTGTTGCTTCAATATGAGTCCCAGATTTTGAAAATCGGTTCAAGAGAAAAAATGATGATTTGGGAAAAAATAAACTCGCACAAAATAATCAACGTTTTTTTCTGACTTCGGCTTCAACTTCCCTTTAAGTCGCAATGCGCTCTTCTAAAACATTTCAGCTGATTATTTCTGATGCCGAGTTGACGATTTGCTTTGACCGAGTAAACGCTTATCCAGAATCTGAAGTTTTCCGGGGTTTTGGTAAATCGACACGCCGCACACAAAACGCTATTTATTGTTCTCGGCAGTGGCAATGCAAATAGAGCCTCACAAAGGACCCGTAATATTAGAGCCGCAGGCCGCAGTTGCGATGTTCACCATACGATTATATTACAATTGAGTTTTGGCTTTGTTCTCTTACGGTACACATGCTCGCTTTTCGGTAAACATTCATTATTGCCGTTCGAAGTTTCTCTCGATATTTCTACATTTACAAAGGTACGTTTTGTTTGATTTGCATTACGTTCATGCACATAATCAATTTGATATTTGGATATTGTGTTCTGGTCAATTCTCT